ACACAGTACACATACTATAGACGGTTTCATCGAACGCACGCGCGTTGCCCGGGTTACGCGCTGGCCCGAAGTTAACTTCCGGTCTGTGTTTGTTAACCGGTAATATCATAATATCATAATATCATTCTCTGGTAATATGGCGCCGACTACAAACGCAGTGAAAATTAAGGTGATGAGCAGACTGAAGTTGGGCTCAGGTTGTTGTGTTGTGGGATGCAACCTGAGGCTCTGGGACAAATACCTTATCAAAAATAAAAAAATTCGTTTTCCTAAAAACGAAGGGAGACGGCGAGCGTGGATCACCGCTGTGCGATGAGAGGCTTGGCAGCCAGGCAAGAATTCAAGGATCTGTAGCACTCACTTCGTTACAGGTAACAAACTCATGATAAGCAACAGATAATTATGGAAGCTTGTTTCCGGCCATGAAGAATAAAAAAATAATAATAATTGAGACTTTTTATCTCATAATTGCGAGATAAGAAGTCAGAATTGTGAGAAATAAAGTTGCAATTCTGAGAAATAAAGTCGCAATTGCGAGAAAAAAAGACAGAATTGAGACTTTTTATCTCACAATTCTGACTTTTTTCTCACAAAAAGTCTATGGTTTCTACAGATGAACTCTGTTGTTATTGACTCTACCGGAAGTTAAGTTTGGGCCACAAAAGCGCGCATGCGCAGTAACGTTTGTTTATGTTGTTGACGTTGAAACCGTCTATATTCTGCAGAAATGGTATGTTATTTCACACAAAAGGCATTGGCAAAGACACAGAGCAGAGGAGTGAAGAGAGCAAGAGAAGGGCATGTTTAGCATTTTGAATAAATATTATAAAAAAATATGATTACCTAGTGTTTTTATTGTCAATGTTTAATTGAATAATTTAAGTAGAAATTTAGGCCTATGCTACATCCCCTATATTCACATATCCAATTTCATTATTTCTTCAATTTATTTAAAAACTGCTGTTCGGATAGAAACTGCCTCCCATTCTTCAACCTTTTTTACACAAACATCTCTTTCGTTGCATAATTGACTGTGGTAATGAGTATGATTTGGGATTATATTAACTCAACAGTTAATATGCAAATTAATATGCCTTTTATAAATCAATCTGGAAGTCTAATAATACTTAATATAGCACTACAGAACACCTCATCAATTCTGCTCCAAATGTTTTTCTAAACATTCTACTACTTTTGTAGTGTACTGACATCTAGTGGAAAAAGAACAACATTGTTAGTACAGGTACATTACATTTCTTATTGACGTCAAACACCAACATTTAGTCATGAGGTAAGGTAACCAAAACCCAACGCCTGATACACATCATAATGCTAAAGTCCACACAACATTAAATTATAACCATTAAACTTTGATATTTTGTTGGTATTTAGTACCAAATCTTCCAACGCCTCATGCCAACATCTTAGTGACATCTTAGTTCTAAATACTGGTATGTGAAATTTGTTAATTAAGGTCATTAACACAGTTCCTTATGCAACGGAAAAGGTGTTTGTGCAAAAAAAGATTGAAGAATGGGAGGGTTTTCATATGAACAGCCGTAGTGATGAAATAATTAAATTAACCCATTTAGGCTTAAAACGCCTGCTAAAAAAGGCCTTTTTTACATCACAGATGTGTGATCCGGTTTTAATGGGTTAAGCTAACAAATTTAATTAGATGCTGATTGGACATGTGAATGTAGTGGATGTATAAATCACAATCATAATAATAAAAAACACTGCTAGAAACAGTAATGTGACATCATAAACCGCACAACATATACATTCATGTAACGTTACTCACTGAATTTGCCATGAGGCCTCTTCTGAAACCTCTTGAGGGGGTGAAAGGACCCCACTTTGAATGAGATTGTCATGCTCCTGATTTTCAAGGCGCGTTCTTGTGAGAGTCTAGCCTTCATTTGAGTCGAAGACTGCTCCCAGGTATGAAATTTGTTGGCTAGGGAGCAGCGAGCTCTTGCCAAAGTTGATCCTGAAGCCCATGTCCTCAAGATGGCAGAGGTGCTGGGATCTGTGGGTGCATAGCTCCTGTTCTGATTGGGCTATAAGCAGCTAACTGTCGAGATAGTTGAGTATGCGGATTCCCGTCTGTCTCAGAAGGGAGAGAGCCGCGTCTACGCACTTCGTAAAAGTAAAAGAGATGGACAGTATATTGGTACGCCACCCCCTCGAACGCGAACCTCAAGAACGGTCTGTGATGGCGGGCTATCTGGATATGAAATAAACGTCTGTCAGATCAACTGATATAAACCAATCACCGGGGCGAATTTGCGCAAGGATTTGTTTGAAAGTTAACATTCAGAAGGGCCGTCTCATGAGGGCGAGATTCTCGTATCTCAGATCGAGGATGGGCCTGAGGCTGCTATCCTTCTTGGGGACGAGGAAGTAGCGACAGTAAAAGCCTGACTCGCTACGTTCAATGGGAAATTTCTCCACTGTACCTTTCACCAGCATTAACCTCGTTCTATTATCCCCAAAATCCAGCTTGACGCTCCGGGGATGGCTTGCCAAGTTACAAGTAGTCAAGTTACAAATGGTTGAAGTACTACAGGCTGCGTCCGGCCACGACGGGACTTAACCGTTTTCTCCTCTGTCTTGAGGCATCAGGACTGCTTCGGCTGCTCAGGGTCCAGCTCTAGCTTGGGGCGAGGCCCTTGACGCCGGGCGGAGGCGTGGCTTGACTTCCGGCTCCGCTTTCGGCTGGGGCTGGACGGGCGCTGAGGCTGGCTTGGGTCGCTGCTGAGTCGGCGGGCCATCTTGGAGCGACTGGAGGCAGTGGTGGAGCTGGCTCTTTTAAGCAAGAAGTGATGCATAGCCTGCGATGACTTCAGTGCCTCGATGTAGCGTTCCGCAAAGCCATCCACCATGGAGCCGAACAGAGAGGGAGATGGGGGAATCAAGAAGAGCCGTACTGTAGGCGCCCTTAATCTCAGTGAGATTGAGCCACAAGTGACGCTCCAACATCACTAGGCTGGCCATAGCGTGGTCGATGGCTTGTGCGGGGGCTTTTGTAGCACGCAGGGCCAAATCCGTTGCACTGCGCAGCTCTTTGAACACAGCCAGGTCAGGTCCAGAATCGTCTATATGGTGCAGAAGTTTGGCCCGGTAAACCTGGAGTACCGCCATTGTGTCTAGTGCAGAGGCGGCCTATCCGTCAGCGGCGAACACTCTGGAAGCGAGCGCTGACGTGGTCCTGCAGGGCTTGGAAGGGTGGCTAGCCTTGGTCTTCCAGCCGATAGCCATGGGGGGGCCAATAGAGATGCGCAGCGTCAGCTTCTTCCACTGGAGGGAGCTTCATGTAGCCCTTTTCTTCGGCTCCGTCAACCGTGGAGAGAGAAGCTGAAGAAGAAGAGTGGAAAACAGAGTAGGGGGTGCACCATATCTTGGTGAGTTCCTGGTGGACCTCCAGGAAGAATGGGGCTGTACGCCGGCAAGAGGCCTACTGTCGGTGCCCCGGCTGCAGGAACCATTCGTCGAGCGGGCCCTTCTGGGGCCGACCATTCCAAACCGAGTTCCTCAAAGGCTTTAGTGAGGACTGGCAAAAGCTCTGGGTCCATGCGAGGCCGTTTGTCACTCTGTTTAGGCGGTATAGGGGCAGATTCATCACCGGAGTTCGCCCACTCTTCGCAGTCAGAGGCGGCCAGAGACTTCGAGTTCTTTCTCAGACCCACCAAATGAGACCAAGCCACTCGCGCCAGATAAGGGGCATTGATCCTCATGGGTGAAGATAACAGGGGACTCGTTACGTTGAGGGGAGAGCAAGGCACGCAGTGAGGGGAGAGCTCGCTTCCGCCCCGCTGCTCAGCCTGGGGAAGTAGATGAGGGAGCGGCAGGTTCGCTGAAGAGCACGATCTGGGTGCGCAGTGTCACGAGGTTAAGCTTCTTACAGTGCGGGCAGCTTGAGTCCAGAGGCGCCGCCTCGGCGTGGGCGCGGCCCAGGAAAGAGGCACACTCAGAGTGCTCATCCAGAGCAGCAACAACGTAGCTGGAAATTTGCTCTAAAAGTTGCTCTTGTATTTAAGTCGCCGAATGACCGCAGGGGAGATGCTAAATCAGCTTGCAGAGCATTGTGTTCCGCTGAGAGAGAGATGAGAGAGAGGCTTCAGTCTTCTTCAGAGCAGTGATATGATCTTCGCGCTGCTGAATAGAAGGAGATTTTGACATTTTTAAAAATGCCATTTTCAGGAGCCCTGATACAAATGCTAATAATAATAATAATAATAAGAAGAAGAACAATAATAATCATTATAAATTAGTGATTAAATAATTATCATAACTGTTGGTAGATTAAACTCATTCAACAAAAAAGAAAGGGTATATAATAAGGCAAAATAATGGAGATTTTGTTCTTTTCATCATGACACAAATGTGATGTTTTGAATGCATTCAATAGTTTAACTCATATGCATGGAACATAAATGTAATATTATCCTCTTATTTAGATAACATGCTTTGAGTGTTTTATCAAGCTGTGTGAGAATCAATGCAAGAGAACTGAACCTCTCCTTCGTGTCAGTGAAGTTGCTGATTATACTGTTCTACACTTTACAGCATTAATTTGTAAATTTGGTCTAAATAAACAAGCAAATAAAGCATTTGATCACTCTGAAATACGTTATTGAAATTTGTATTATTGTTCAGTAGGGGGCGCCCTTAATTAGTCTTTCTATCTATAGAATATGTGCTAAAGAAATACGTTTAAATACGTTCTCGTGTCTCCAAACAGTTGTAGGCTATCTGTCATATGTGTGGTTTTAGGTCTAGGTCACGCGTATTCTTGTTATGAGATGTTTTCTTAAACTGCCTGGGGGGGGGGGGAAACAGTCAGAATTGGGAGATTTAAATACATACTTAGACAGAGTCAGAAATAACAATTATAATGTATGCAGAGGTAATGTATAATAGTGTATAGATGATGATAGTAATGGTTTTCAAAAATGCAGATGCCAGACCCGTTTATGCTGCCTCTCACGAGCACGTTTGAAATCCATCCCGTTATTTCCCTGCGTGCTGACGTCACTTACCGAAACTCTCGCGCGTGTGGCCTGCAGTTCGGACAGCGGTCAGATCATCTGATCATCAAACACCAAAAACTCTCACCATGGGAAACTGTCAAGTGAGTATTTCATTTCATTTTTATAATGCGCACCTTACACACGCCACAGAGAGATAGAGAGAGTGTGTTCGTGTATAGCATTCTGCGCAGAGTTTGATACGGGACTGGTCGCATAATCGATCAACTTAAATCTGTTTTAAAGAGAAGGAAAGAAAAATGAATAACGTTGCAGTGACAAAAGAATAAAGACAGTTAAGTTGTCTGATCTTCGTTGCGATGCCACGTAATGCTTTTGGGAAACAGCCCTTATCGTGTAAACTGTAATTATAATTGTTATCCACGATTGTTTTAACAGTTAAATGTTGGGAAAACTATTTTTCCACTTTTAGAATATGTATTACGGTGATTTAGATTATAAGGTTATATGATATCGTAAAGGGAAGGGCTGTATTAGAATCCCGTTATGAATGAGTCAGAGGAAATGCTTTGGGAGGAGACTACTCTTCATATCGCCTGTGCGGGGCCTCGGTCTAGGGTTGCAGTGTTTGGAGAGTCTGAGCATTCCTGAGCCGGCCTTTTGTTCGTATGGGGGAGACCGAGGGGATAGTACCTCTTCAGTCACACACACACACACACACACACACACACACACACACACACACACACACACACACACACACACACACACACACACACACACACACACACACACACACACACACACCCACGTCTGGTTCACTATCTTTGTGGGGACTCTCCATAGACGTAATGATTTTTATTCTTTTTTAACTGTATATTCTATCCCCTTACACTAACCCTACCCCTAAACCTATCCATCACAGAAAACTTTCTGGATTTTGACATTTTCAAAACACTTCATTTAGTATGATTTTTCTTTTATAATAACAAAATAAAATGTCCCCATAAGGTCAAAATTTGCTCGTATTACTCTCCTTGTGTTGTGAGGACATTTAGTCCCCATAACATAACACACACACAAGTCAAGTCAACTTTATTTAGGCTTTTTTTTTTTTTTTTTTTACAATACAGATTGTTTCAAAGCAGCTTTACAATGATAACAGGAAAATAATGCAACAGAGTTTGTTTCTGCTGTATGGCAGATCTAGAAGAAAATAGCGTCATAGTCCAGCATGGTTAATTTTTGTTGTAAAAAAAGTTATTAATTTAGTTCATTTATCTATACAGCCGCTCTGGAGAAAACAGTGATGTCATCGTCCAGCTCAGTTCAGTTCTCATATAATGATGTCAATGCAGGCAGATCAATATGAATATTGGTGAATATTTATTCTGTCATGAAGTAAATACTACAGAAAAAAACAAATAATTTCTACACTGAATAAGTTAGTTCAGGCAAGAATAAAAAAACAAAGTAAATTCTACATCAGTACTCAATTCAAGCTTGTAGAAATCAAAGTGTAAATATCAACATTATAAAATTAAGTAAAACCTACTTGACTTTCTGATACTGGTGTTCCCATCATGCACTGGTTCATGAATATGAATAAAGTTGCTTTTTTTCTGCTGTTTCCCAGCTGTATTTACACTGTTATCGTCGTTTGCAAAAGAAAAAAATAAGAAAATTTGACTTATCATGTTTTTTTTCAGCTCTGTACTGATTTCCCTGATAATGTTTGCTGATTTAGTATTTATTTATTAACATCTAATTTATCTCTAGATTAATGGTTAGATTTGGTGGCGCTCATTTATAATATTTTCATTTTATAATGGCAGTTTTTGGGGATAGGTCTATATGGTATACCATTGCAGCAGTAATAAATGTTTTAGGACTTTGAAATCTTTAAAATATGTGAGAAAACATTTTTTCATTGAAGTATCATAACAGTGGTTTGCTTTAAACACATTATTCTTGATAGCTGCAAGAATTGCTTCCATTAAGCGAAAACTATTTAGCAATAATAAGCAGTGACAACGTATTTTTTTAATGTAAGAGGAGTAGTTGCAACAGTCTGACTTCTTATATTAAATTTAAATGTTTTATTAATATTTAATGGTATTACACTGGTGGCACATATAAATGTCCTCATCCAATAATAATCACTGCCAGGGTCATCGCAAGCAAATTCACTGAATGCTGAATCCTAAAACATGAATTAAGTGACCTAATTCATGTGACCTTCTAACACATATTGTAATTAACTGTGAAACATAATGAACATTGAAAATGATTATCTTTACAATGATTACATTTACATTTTATTCAACAGCCAACAGTTTTTCCTTATGAAGACTTCGACGTAGTTGCCGATATAAAGGCCATCCGCAAAGCCTGCAAAGGTTTAGGTGAGATGTTTATGCCAGTCTTATATTTTATTCAGCATTCGGTATAATGCAATTACAATTTGACATGCAGTTATAGTTAGTCTGCTATTTACAGGCCATTTTCATAACTGGTGGATCAATTTGAATGACATTTTCTATAAAATTTTCAAGGAACTGATGAGAAAGCCATCATAAACATCCTAGCCAATCGAAGTGCAGCTCAAAGAATGGAGATAAAACAAGCATACTTTGAGAAATATGATGATGTGAGTATTCTGAAAACACTTTCATGTCAAAGAGATAGTTCAAAAATATATATTTTAAGAATAAAGAGAATGCATTTAAAGGTGAATGTTTTCTATGAAGGAGTTGGTGGATGTTTTGAAGAGTGAGCTGACTGGTAATTTTGAGAATGCCATCCTCGCCATGTTGGATCCTCCTCACGTGTTTGCTGTTAAAGAGCTCAGGAAGGCCATGAAGGGCGCTGGCACCAACGAGGACGTCCTGGTGGAGATTCTGTGCACTGCTACCAATGCTGTATGTCAGTTTGTTTTGAATTGAAAGCCTCTGCAAGTTCCTGTGTTTGTGACTGTTATCAAAGCAGGGGAAAATGTTTGTCCATTACTAATATGTTTACAGTTAAATAGATTTAGAAATTGAAATGAGTCATTTCCTACTTTTTGTTTTCTAACAGGATATTGCCACTTACCAAGAGACCTACACCTACGGTAAGAACGACTCAACCAATAATATGCATTATGCAATATACATTTTACAGCATGTATTAATAGTTGAGCGATACAATTGTACCTTGATCATTCATGTTAGTTCATAGTGCATTAACTAAGGTTAACAGATTCAATAAAAATGTAAAGTTAATTTAAAAAAATGTATTAGTAAATGTTAGGGGTGTAACAATATATCATGTCACAATATATCGCAATACAAAAATGCATCAATATGTATTATGGATAGTGACGATATGTATTGTGTATAATTCACCCAAAATGAACATTTCTGTGTGAGGAGGAATAAATTCAAGTTTACAGAGTTTTAGTGTCAATACTTCATTAAACTACTGTATATAATGTTGAATATAATGTATAATTAATAATGCAATGGGGGAATATTTGCGGGTCCTGGTCATGCTAAATGTCTTTTGTTACCAGTAAAAAGTGGCCTACATTATTTTAAATATATGTGGTCAGTGACAGAGTGCAAAATCTGTATTTTCAGCTTCAGAATCATGAATATTTTTTAATATTATATGGTGTCACCGTTGTCCTGTGCATTGGGTCACCAGGACCAAGTCCAAGCCTATTCATTTACAGCCACAATGTAACAGCAAATTTAGCATTTTAATCAACAGAACATTTTACCATATTTCTTGGAGTATCGCAAAAATACCGTATCGTAGGTTCAATATCTTGATATGTATCGAATCGTGACATGAGGGTATCGTTACACCCCTAGTAAATGTCGAAATTAACAAACTAACAATGAACAATACTTATACAGCATTTATTAACCTTAGTTAATGTTACAAATGGAATGTTATTGTAAAATGTTGCCATTTTATATGAATCCAAACAGTCATGCTTAAAGATGACCATGTTTAAATATCTACATAAAGGCCAGAGCATTGAAATTAGCTACATAAATGTATATATATAATCTCGCAATTTATTTGCTTCTATTTTAGAACACTTGATGATTATCTAATCAAATGACAAAATATGTATTGCAGTGATGATAAAAAAAGAACTGAAATCAAATGCGTTTCTGATTTGTTTATATGTCTCTGTCGGCTGGATAAACATATCAGTTGTCTTTCTTAAATCAAATAGCTTTAAATATGCAACTTCGCCAGCTAATGAATGCATAAGCGACCAGCTGAATATAAACTAACGCAAATAGATGGTAACAATCATGACATTAAACATTTGGGTCGGACGGGTGTGTGTTTTTGTCACATTGTTTTACCGCTTGAGATTCTACTAATGTTAGCGTCCTCAACCTCGACGGCAAACAGTGTCGCATCCTTTTTGAAAGCCAGATTTCAAACTCTGCTGAAATCAAAATTAATTTAATTTTTCCTATAAAAGCACCATATTGCATATTTTATTATTTTAACCCACAAAATCCACTACAGTCTGACATTGGAATGTCATTGCATCAAATTTACCAGAATTGAATTGCTGATTATAATCTACCTAATCTATTATGTGTTCATTTATTTGAAAAAATATAGTTCTTGAGCCTGTGAATGTAAAACTGGTATAAATCGTCCCAGAATTACAGTTTTGTCTTCATATTTCTGACATTACAAAATTTCAACCAGGATTTGACCAGATTTTAGAATCATGATGTTTCAAATAATTTAGTAAAGAATCAAAAGACAATACAACGGGTGAAAACATCCAACAGACTTGTTGAGACTGTTGAGGTGGGAAAAATATTTTTCTTCATTTTGAACAGTTTTTCTATTGTTTTATCAAATGAAAAAAACACAACTGTGTGTTGTTGTTTACAGTGCATGACAGGGATTTGGAGGCAGACATTGAAGGAGACACCAGTGGGGATGTTAGGCGACTACTAACATTTCTTCTCCAGGTAAATTATATTCATTCTGAATCAAAATGGTTGCTTACATCTTACAAAATGACTACACTGCAGTCCTGGGTGACATTAAGAGCTCACTGTCAGCCTGTGTTTAGTACCCCTCCCCTTTCCTCATGTCCCTATAGAGCGCTGGAGCTTGGCAGTGGTTCAGATCCCCTTTCATTAGATAAGTGGAGGCAGGATTCAATGACGTGTCTCAGATTGGATTTCACTCTCTCGGTCAATACTTTCTCTCTTGTAGGGTAACAGAGACGAGAGCTACGAGGTGGACGAAGCGCTGGCAGAGCAAGACGCCGTCTCCCTGTTTGAAGTAGGGGACATTCAACACAATCTCACTTTATAGATATTCATAAAGCCTGGTTCTAGCACATGCCTGGAAACACAACATAAATTGTGTGGACAACATCGAAAACATGATTTGTTTTTTAAAAAAAAAATTAACTTATGTTTAACTTTAGAGACAGATAAGGGTTACAAATCATTTGAGGTTTATAGATTATTGCATTTGTAGGGTGATTTTGAATGGATTTAGGGATCACTAATATGCTGATTTACTGCTCAAGAAACATTTCTGATTATTATCAATGTTGAAAAGAGTTCTGCTTATTCAGGATTCTTTGATAAATAGAAAGTTCAAAAGAACAGTATTTATTTAAAATAGAAATCTTTAGTATTTCTTGATATTTTAGTCACTTAATACATTTATATGTTCACAGTTCTCTGATGTCAGTTAATGGTCATATGACATTCAAACAAATAATATATTTATAAAATATATAAAATACTATATATACATATATTGTATTTTATTATGATTTACTGCAGTTTCCTCCAATTTAGGAAAGCCTGGTCTATCTAAACATGCAAATATGTATCGTTGCTACAATATACAAACATGTTAATATGAATTGAGATCACCCTGGGATATTTTATGATAACATAATGATATGATAACAATGATGATAACATAATGATTTTAATATTTAGTCCCATGTCCAGTCTTATTCCAGTTTATTAATATATGTTTTAATGATCTGTAAGGCTGGAGAGGGCGGCTTTGGCACAGACGAGTCAACTTTCAGCTTCATTCTGGCCACCAGGAACTACTTACAACTGCAGGCCACTTTCAAAGCCTATGAAGCCGTGAGTTTTTAATCTGTTCTGTGAGCTTAAAGGCATAGTTCACCCTAAAATTAAAATGATGTCATCATTTACCCACCCTGGTGTTGTTCTAATGCAGTTTGCCCTTCTTTCTTTTTTCGGACCACTATCAGATGCAAAAGTATCATAGAATGATCCCATGCAACACGTGTAGTATATTCCAAGTGTTCTGGGGGAATATAATAGGGTTTAGTAAAAAAAAAAAAAAAAATGTAATGTATTATTTAACAAAAATCCGGACCTTGGCTGTTGGTCTTCTGTGCTGCGGGACTCTATTTGTGCCACAGTCACTACGACTCTCCCACAAAAAGCACACAAGTTGCGAGAAATACAAATGAATAAAATCACGACATAAAATACAATCCATGTACTTTCTTCTCTGAGGTGAATATATTCACATTCACATCAGTCAACTGTCATTCTGACTGTCATCTGACAACCAGAGTTCAGGTCTGGAGATATTCAACTAAGTGAAGAAAGTATACGGATACTTTTTTGGGATTTCTACACTTGGAATATACGACATGTGTCACATGGGATCATGCCGTGATGCTTTTGCATCTTTTTAAAGTCTTGATGCTGGCGCTATTCACTGCCATTTATATGGACGATTTTTTTTAAATTGTGGTATGAAAAAGAAAGAAGGGCATACAGCATTAGAACAACACCAGGGTGAGTAAATGATGACTTAATTTTCATTTAGGGGGGGAACTCTAGCCTGGGAAAACCCAGACAACTTCCAGCAAATTTAGATTTGCTCTGAAAGTTAGTCTGACAAAGAGCTCATTCAAGCCCATTTCCAATCCGTCGAAATCGCGGCACCAATCAGAAACGTTGGGGCGGGCTTTACACAATGACGACAGCGCTGGGATTTTGAAGCAGATTTTGTAGCCTACATTACAAAGATGGATGCCGCCGTCGAACATCACTCGTTCGAATCAGCTATCGCGTCTGTTTTAAGCGATTTGAACGTTTCCTTTTTGTTAAAAACCAATCAAAGAACAACACTCGGAGAAGTTTACGCCGCTCTGCATACGTCATCTCCTTCATCGCTCTGATTGGTTTAGGTCTATCCGCGACGTCCGTTGGTGACGCCCCTCTGGAAATGATTTGTCTATGACGCTTTGCCAGACCATAACTCAGTTACAACTGAGAATGGTCTGATTTTAACCAGGCTAGGGGAACTCCCTTTAAAGTAGTAATTTAGTACAATAAGTTTTTTTAGTTTTCTTGTAATAGCTCTAGATTACTTTGAGATTGTGTTTCATGTTCTCCAACAGATCTCTGGAACTGAGATTTTGGATGCAATTGATAAGGAAACCTCTGGAACTCTGAAGGATTGCTACATCACACTTGGTTTGTATTGTAAACACTGGCCTTGTTCAAACAGGCAGCAACCATTGAGTTTTTTGTAGCATGAACACCAAAGAAATCACATGACATCTGATTTTCAAATGGAAAATTGTGCAAAAGTGAAATCTTTGAAATCCAATGTCCAGTAGTGTCTACAGCTTGTAGTGTGTCTAAATTCACCCAATTGACTGAGACTTAAAGTCACCATGAAATCAAAATTGACAGTTATTGTTTTGTTTTTTTAATGGAATGTTGCCGTATTTATTATAAATGATTTATAAGTGCACATCATTATTTTTCAAGTGCCCTTATAAAATAACTCCCCCTCCCTCTTGCAACAACATCTCTTCTCTTCTTGATGACGTGATTGTTCAGGTGCGAGGGCGGGACAACCTGTCACTGACATGAGATCACAACAATAGCAAACTACAACAATCCAATTTATTCCTAATTGAAAAAAATAAAATTATAAAATCGTATTCGAGTAGCTGTGTCACCTTCAAACTACCATTGGTCCGTGGCAATAATGTATTAGGTGGGTGTGGCTATGAGACTCCGCCTTCTTTGAGGTGGAAATCTTCTCCGGTTCATTTCTTCTGTACAATCTGTCGAGGTCAGACGTCCACGAGTGAAAACACGAACACACTGGAGAGCCGCTTTATAGTAGAAAATGGAAGTTGTAGTTATCAAGCGTAGCATCTGTTCTGGCAGGTCACGTTAGTCAAGCTCGCATCAGCTGACTCTCAGCTGATCCATGTCTACCTATAGGAATACGACGCCTATCACTGTATACATATATAAGCTCCTTCAGTATTTTCAGCAGCTATCGCGTTTCTCAGGAGCGAATTACCCTCCTCCATCCCCAGGTCCTCCTCTCGTCCAGTCAGGATTTGGCATTCTGATCCCACTTGAATCAGACTTAAATTCTCTAATAATGTTGTACATTAAAATTAATTAATGATATATGCAATACATTCATGTTGGTTCTGTTCTGTTTACCCTAAGGGGGGTTATTGCTGCTCTTATCCATGTTAGGCTGCATGGATGCGCACTTGCGCAGGGAGTTCTTGCCCAGAACGGAACCATACCGCCTATCCAAACTGTATGCTAATTGTCAATCGTATTTGACGATAATGGTTCTGACAGAACTATTTAAAAGAGACACTGAAACTGTGTTTTCGTGTTTAATACTGTAAAGCTGCTTGCTTTTGAACAATCTATTGTATAACGTGCAGAGCCGTCGCAATGGGGTAGGCAAGGTAGGCAGCTGCCTAGGGCCCCCAGCTGAAGGGGGCCCCCGATGGCCGCAAGGTCGTTTGGGTTGTGTATCTGCCCTCGTCAAACAGTATCAACCACTGTAAACAAACCACCACAGTGAGACAGCGCTATCAGTACTGCTCCGTGAGTGAGAGGGGGCCCCCCAAACTAGAGGGATTCCCCCTATGCAATGACAAACACTATGAGTGCCCTAATCACTGTAATGTTGAAGTGACATCCACCGTCGCGCACCCCCCATCAGGTCCCCCACTAGCTGTCAGTGGAAGAGAAACTGTTGTTCCTACACTCAGCGCTACGCGGGCATTTAAATTTAAAAATGTCACCATGATGAAGCGCTCATATCCTTCAGGATTTTCCAAAAGACAGAGAAAGAAAGAAGAAGAGGAAAAACGCAAAAAGACAGCGATAAGTAAACCATTATTATCTCCAAATACAACTGTCTGACATTTTTTCACATCTCTGCGAACATAAACCTTGACATCAGTGACCAAACACAACGGTATATGTGAGCGTTGTTAGAGGGTGAAAAAGTTCAACTAATTAATAGTCATACACAACTTTGTTCTGTTTGCAGAATTTAAGCATAAAATACACACTAGACAACTTCTCGGCCCTTCACTGTTGTAGCTACAGCATTCGAAAACTTCCTTTGAGCTAAATCCTCTTGATGCACGAGCCCAGATTACGATCGCATGAGATTTTTTGCCATGCTAATGATAATAGAATAATAATATGAATAATTATACTTTTTTTTACCTTGTTTTTGCCTTGTTGACAAAAATAAACATTAATCAAATTGTGTCATTCACATCAACAATGCCTAAATGAAGACACTGCGTCCTTTACTACACTCAAGTGGCCACTTTGTGTAGCGTAGGCTACTACAGAGTAATTCATGACTCTTAAAATGCACAAGAATACAAGAAATCCCATCTGAATTTAAAAAAAATTCCTGAGGGAGGACTTGGGACCTCACTTCACTCTTTTGCCTAGGGCCCCCAAATATCTTGGAAACGGCCCTGATAACGTGCTATATAAATAAATGTGACGTGACTTTACTGGAGTGCTAAATTGCAGAGCTGGTGCAATCATCTCTACATCTCTACATCGCTGTCATTTTTGTTGTTTATTTTGTTATTGAAAGGAAAGCGTGCAGCACATATGTACATATTCACATCAGTCTTAGCAGTGTGAGCGGCGTCGGGATGTTCGGTTACATTATACCACTGCAAAGCAAATAAGGTTATTTTTACCCCTAAGCGAAGAACGAAAATGAACTTTTTTTCATCCCCATCACGAGATTTGTGAACAAAGCCAAGCTGCTATGTTAAAATACTACAATACTAGAGTTTCCAGCTTTGATTATTTGTATAGCAATTCTTCACTTGTTTAACACTTTCTATCTAACCCATAGTGAGGGTTGCTAAGAACCCCCAGCTATTCTTTGCCCGGAGGCTGAACGCCGCTATGAAAGGTGCCGGGACTGATGAAGACACTCTCATCCGCATCATTGTGTGTCGCTCAGAGGTATAATACCTTTCCTCATTTTGTATGCTTTGAGTAGTGTTAAGGCCCATTCACACCAAGAAAGATAACTATATAAGTACATTAGCGACGCGTCCACACCAACACACAATATTTTTCTGTTGATTCTAAGCACATGCCGCAGTTTTGTCGTCTGTCACTTTAAATGCTCAAGGCAGGATGAATTCTGATTGGCTGTCATTGTTTTTATCATTCATCAGCTGGAAAAAAAAAATCATTCGGAAAGTGATTTCAATTATATTGTTTCTGTGCCATTATTGTTAAAGTTGTGGTGTGGACTTTTCTATTCTGTTATATTTAGAATGATTTTTAGAACTATATCTTTGTTATCCTTAAAGTTATCGTTGTTGGTGTGAACGGGCGTTCAATCATTATTACTAGTCATTTTGGGTGTGTTCAGAATGGAATACTAGAGTGTTGTGTACTGCACACTGCACAGCATTGAAATTTTTATAAAGTAGCATGTGAAACAGCATGCGGTAAATATTTCAAACAGTGGTACGCATTTTAAATCCAGTATTTTTAATTTTATTCCTAACTTTGGAATATTAACAGTCATGAATGATATTACACTACAATTCCAAAATTTGGGGTCGGTAGGATTTTTAAAATGTTATTTTAAAAAGTGTCATATGCTCAGCAAAGGCTGCATTTATTTGATCAAAAATACAGAAAAAAAAATGTATTTTGTGAAATATTATTTCAATTTAAAATAACTGTTTTCTAGTTTAATCTGTTTAGAAATGTGATTTATTCCTGTGATGCAAAGCTGAATTTTCAGCATCATTACTCCAGTCTTCTGGTCCTTCCGAAATCATTTTAATATGCTGCTTTGCTGTGGAACATTATGGGCCCTATTTTAACGATCTAAGCACACGGCGCAAGTGCATTTAGGGCGTGTCTGAATCCACTTTTGCTAGTTTAACGACTGGAAAAATGTTCTGTGCACCCAGCGCATGGTCCTTAATGGTTGTCCCTGCTGCTGCGTAGGGGTGTGCCAAAAAATCGATTCTCATTTGCAACGATTCAGAATCGATCTGAAATGTCCAAGAATCGATTTAATAAATAAATAAAATCAGCTGGCTGTTCGCCTCCATTTTTGTAACTATAGCCTATACGGGACGTCCGGACGTCATGCACGCAGCCGGTTTTTGAACGTGAGCGGCAAATCAGAGGAAGCAAATATGGATGCTTTTATAGAGCTTCTGATGCTTCTAAATATGATGCTTCTACATTCATTCTGCCGTGGCGGGCCGCCACACCTAAAATAATTTTGCCACGGCTGCAGCTTCTCAGTGAGGTCCGATATTAATGTGCATACTATTGTGTTATTGTTAAGCTAAAGGCATAAAAAACATTGTAAAGCACCATAAAGTGTTCGCACTATATTCCAAGACTTCTAAAGTCATTCAATAGCATAATGTGAGGTAAAAATGAATATTTAAGTCGTTAGTTAAAGTTAATGGAAACTCATCTCTCCTCAGTCATTCTCCATTCAGCATTCACACAGCGCGTCGCGTTATAGCGTTTTCTAAATCATAATCCTTTCTCCCGGGTGTCTGTTAGATTACAGCACTGGAGAGCGCTATGAATTGTTCTTCATCCGCACTGTAACTGAAATTTAAAACTGTTAAAAGAAAATGCTCAATAAACTGTTGCAAATATATAATACATTAAGCATAGATAGACAGATATAATCTCTTCGCTTTGTGCTTTGAACTTTTCAATCCGGAGCGCTGCGCGCTGTGACTTCGCGTTGCTTCAAGTGCATCATTCTGCGCACGGGATGCGCACAATCGCTTTGCCGCTCTTATTCGAGCCTTTCATGTTATAATGTTATAATACTTAGGGGAGGTTTAAACACCTGGGGTAAGGGGGCGTGGCAATTGGCAATCACTCATGGGCCACGCCCCCTCCCCCTGGCGAAATGGGCCTGCCACCACAGCTGGAAAAAATCCTAGAGGAAACACTGGTCTCCGTTTGTCATTCTGTATAGCAAAGCAGATGAGAGTAGATCATGATCAGAAACCCGATTAGAAATCATTATGGATAAAATCGAATCGTTTTAAATCGAAAATCTTTTTGAATCGAAAATCGATTTTGAATCGAATCGTGGCCTCAAGAATCGGAATCGAATTGAATCGTGAGATGGTAAAAGATTCCCACCCCTACTGCTGCGTGTCCCTGTGTGTGTAATAAGCAGAGTGTACGCACGTTGTGGAACCGCTTATAGGCGCACATTACTAACGCACTCTTTAAATAACAAAAAATAAATACTGCGCCATTGACTTTAGACCAGGTTTCAGTTGGACAATGGCACAGTCTATTTCAGTTGCCTGTAAATAGCAACAATGCGCCTGAACACACATCGTTTTCAGACCAGCACACCCATGGGCGAACAGATGGGCGCAAATACATTTGCTATTTAAACAACGCGGCACAGGACGTGAAAATGATAACTGCGTCGGGCTGAAACTAGCTAAAAACACTTGCGTCGCGCCTGGCGCCGCATTGTGACTATTGTATGATAGTGCCCATTGTCTTTACTGCCACTTTTGATCAATTTAAGGCATCCTTGCTGAATAAAAGTAATAATTTCTTTCAAAGAAAACAGACTTTTGAATGGCATTGTATTCCAGATATTTCATGCATGCATTTGCATACCGTGCACTAGTGATGCATGGGACGAGACGCCTATGCCGAGTCCAAGTCAAGACCGAGTCTTTGACGGGTCGAGTCCGAGTCGAGACCGAGTCCGTTGGTTTTCAAATACAGTCGAGTCCGAGACAAGACCGAGTCTTTGAGGAAGCAAGTCCGAGTCGAGATTTTGTCTCGACATGTCAGTTTTGATATTTATGATTTAATATCACCCCAGTTAATAATCAACAGTTAGGCCTTTGCATTGCAACATGGGATGTCATTTTCAAATAATGCCCATCAACATTCCATTTTATTATTATTGTTGTTATGTGTATTGTGTATTTTTATATGAACATAAAAAAAATGCGTTGGAAAAAACAATCTCGAGGACTCGGTCTGAAATTACGAGTTCTTCTCCTCCCACTGTGGTCCGAGACCGAGTCAAGACCGAGTTTTTGAAAGGTCGAGACCGAGTCAAGACCGAGTCTTTGAAGGGTCGAGACCGAGTCAAGACCGAGTCTTTGAAGGGTCGAGACCGAGTCTTTGAAGGATCGAGAACGAGTCAAGACCGAGTCTTTGAAGGGTCGAGACCGAGTCAAGACCGAGTCTTTGAAGGGTCGAGACCGAGTCTTTGAAGGATCGAGACCGAGTCAAGACCGAGTCTTTGAAGGGTCGAGACCAAGTCAAGGCCGAGTCTTTGAAGGGTCGAGACCGATTCAAGACCGAGTCTTTGAAGGGTGGAGACCGAGTCAAGACCAAGTCTTTGAAGGGTCGAGACCGAGTCAAGACCAAGTCTTTGAAGGGTCGAGACCGAGTCAAGACCGAGTCTTTGAAGGGTCGAGACCGAGTCAAGGCCGAGTCTTTGAAGGGTCGAGACCGATTCAAGACCGAGTCTTTGAAGGGTCGAGACCGAGTCAAGGCCGAGTCTTTGAAGGGTCGAGACCGATTCAAGACCGAGTCTTTGAAGGGTCGAGACCGAGTCAAGACCGAGTCTTTGAAGGGTCGAGACCGAGTCAAGGCCGAGTCTTTGAAGGGTCGAGACCGATTCAAGACCGAGTCTTTGAAGGGTCGAGACCGAGTCAAGACCGAGTCTTTGAAGGGTCGAGACCGAGTCGAGACCGAGTCTTTGAAGGGTTGAGACCGAGTGAAGACCAAGTCTTTGAAGGAACAAGTCCGAGACGAGTCCGAGAAAGCAGAAATCAGTCTCGAGTACTATATCACTACCGTGCACAGTATATAGCAAACACTATAATTTGTATAATATGCTATTCTGATCATAGACATTGATATTTAGCATGAGGTATGTACTGTAATTACACAGAGATTAGATTATTAGAGCGTTTTACAGAACAACCTGTAATGGACATTCCTCTGCTTGAGTAGATTGATCTGGAGACCATTAAAGACATGTACCTGGAGAAATATGATGTGCCTCTGAAAGATGCCATCAGATCGGAGTGTGGTGGAGATTTCAAGCGTCTCCTGCTGGCCATCCTTCACTGAGAGACGCACTTTCAGACCCCGGTGCGCAACATGGACCAAGGAAGCTTTCATTATAGTCCCAATCAAGGCAAACTAACATGACTTGTTTTCTGTCTTATAGTCTACAAACACATTTTTTATAGTGCTAAGTTTAAATGGACAAAACCTTCAAATACAATATCTTTAATATTAATATTTTACTACACTGTGCAAATATATATGCTTGTATAAATTATGAATATACATAACACCACTCAGAAATCTCACGAACAGCTGTCCTCATATACAGAGACATAAATTTGTGTCCAGTTTCTGTGACGTTCCTTGTTCTTGAAACTAAATTGGCCAGTTTGATTTGTTTAAGTGGAGTCTTGTGGTTTCAACAGTAGATATACCATACGGCTTCTGTCAAGATGATTTATGACCCTATGATTGACAGGTGGGCGGGGCTAACCTTTGACCTTCCGGAGTGTGTTCCGGAGGTCCCTTTGATCTAGGGATGACCCTTTGACCTATCGATCGATCAAGTTGACAGTTGTGTTTGATCCGGGGTATGCCGGCTGTCTTTGATGTGGGTGTATAATAATTTATTTTGACAGTTGTCTTTGCCCTATTGCCCTTTCTATTATACGTCAAGTTGACAGTTGTGTTTGATCTGGATATGCCAGTTGTCTTTGATGCGGGTGTATAATCATTTATTTTGACAGTTGTCTTTGATCCGGAGGTATTATAGAATAAAACATTGAAGCGGTGTGCAATAAATAAAATCATCTTACTTTATCAGACGTTCCCCAAAGATGTTCCTCCGACTCCCTCTCTCTCACCGGCCTTTTTTCATGACAGCCATGGTCACTGCATCTGTGTGTGTGTGTGTGTGTGTGTGTGGGTGTGTTACATGATACCCTCCGCATTCCTGAAGACACTGTGGAAGTGAGAAAATATCAGCCACTAGCTAAATGAACAACATTCCTCTTTTAAAAGTATATTAATAAAATGCTTTTATCTTTCATTGTAAAATAAATAACTGAAATGTACTGATCCAATTATTTTAGATAAAAAAATAAATAAAATGCTTTTCTCATTCATTGTAAAATAAATAACTAAATGTACTGATCCAATTATTTTAGATAAAAAATCACCCCGCATGTTTTATAGATTAGAAGAAAACATACAGGTTGCTAACGGGTGACAAAAAATAAAACCATCTTACTTTCCCGGCTGTCCCGAGATGTTGAATCATTTAAAGATCCCAGATTGTTTTCTCTCTCACAGCGAGTCTGTGGCTGACCAGCACCTTTTGGTCTTCTATGTATGTGCGTGTGTGTGTGTGTGTGAGTAAGTGAGACGCCACCCCATTCCTGCACTCTTGCTGGGACAGTGAGAAAATATCTCACACTGGCTAGAGTTGAAACCATTCAGTTCTTTCAAATGATATAAATGAAATTACAAATATTTCACACCAAACCAATTATTTTAGATAAACAAATAAATAAAATGCTTTTCTCATTCATTGTAAAATAACTAACTAAATGTACTGATCCAATTATTTTAGATAAAAATCATCCGGCATGTTTTATAGATTAGAAGAAAACATACAGGTTGCTAACGGTTCACAAAATAAAACCATCTTACTTTTTCACCGAGTTGAAGAAGTAGTTCCTAAGATGTCCATACAATATGAATGGTTTACAAAAGATGTAAAAGATGAGTTTAAAGTTGTCCCCCAGTGATTCTCTCTCCCCCACGCTTGACCAGAGTGGTGTGTGTGTGTGTGTGTGTGTGTGTGTGTGTGTGTGTGTGTGTGTGTGTGTGTGTGTGTGTGTGTGTGTGTGTGTGTGTCTATGTGTGTATGTGTAAGAAATGGGTGATATCATCGGCAATAAATTACTTTAGACCTCTCTAAGTCACAGGGGCCCGGGACGCACGCTTCTCTGTGTGTGTGTGTGTGTGTGTGTGTGTGTTACATGATACCCCTTAAGTGAGGACAATATGTATCATATATTTCACACTAAAGTTGAAAAACATCATGCTCTATATAAATGAAATGGTTAAAATTTACATCTAGTAATTTACAAATATATTATTTCACACTAACTTAAGTTGAACAACATTCTTCATTTAAAAGTATATTAATAAAATGCTTTTATCGTTCATTTTTTAAATAAATAACTAAAGTTATTATTTTAGATAAAAATCATCCGACATGTTTTATAGATTAGAAGAATACATACAGGTTATGAACGGGTGTCAAAAATAAAATCATCTTACTTTTTTCAGCCGGTTGATGAAGTAGTTCCTAAGATGTCCATACATTTAAAGTTGAAAAGATCCCACAAGTAATTATCTCTCCCCCTCGCTTGACAGGCATGCATTGTCTGTGTGTGTGTGTGTGTGTGTGGGTGTGTGTGTCTGTGTGTGTGTGTGTGTGTGTGTGTGTGTGTGTGTGTGTGTGTGTGTGTCTTTTCAGCGGTCAGAACGAGACATTGCATGTGTTCGATTAGTGTTAATCTTATTTCATAGTATAATCATTAAAAGTTTAAATTATATCTTTTAAAAATACAAGATGTTTTAAATTAAATTAAATTAATTCATAAAACAAATATGCTACATCGTGGAAAAACTTGACTATATTTTTTATTTATCAGGGTACATGTAAAGAACTTTGAAATTTGGGGCTCTCACAAGTCATCTCACACATTGTGTGAAATGTTCAATAATTCCTCAAGTAGTATCTGTGCAAAAATCACCACATAGGTCTATCTTTAGTGCGAGAGCACCAATGAAGACATCTAGAATCTGTGATGCCTCAGGCCAGCCCCCATTAGCTTCAGGATATAGGGTGACAGAGCAGATGAGTCTCTGTGCATCGTGTAATGTTAGTCTGCTAAACACCTTTCCAGAGCCAAAATTTTGTTCGTACTAAGATTATTTCAAATCATAATCGTAAAAGTTTCAATATTTTAAAATGAAAAGATGGTTTAAATGAACTCTTTATAGTTTTAATACATTCGTATCTTCTATTTATCTTTTAGAAGATTACTGTAAGGATTTTGTTTAACGGTGACCTAAAGTATAATTTTTATTAATATAGCCATAATGATTTTTGTACTGTATCAGCATATTCTACCGTGTACACCTGAAAACTGCATTTTTACATTTTCAAAATAAATAAGTAATTTAATATAATTTCTAAGCTGTTTTGCGGCTCCATAAAATCTCTATTTTAAAATTAAATTATTATAAATAAAGTATATAACTCAATGAATAATAACACATATGCTACTAAAATGTATTCATACAAATTAAACATAGTTTTATCTTAATTAATATATTTATAAATATATATAAATTATATCTATAATTATAAAAAAACTCCTTACATTTTCATAGAACTGAAGAAGTAGTAGAATCTAGATCTATGCAATGATAAAAAACAAGCCAAAAAGCAAATAGTTTAAGTTGTGATAAACAAACAAAGCCCTCCCAGATCCTTCAGTGATAAACTACTGGGTGAGATGAAGCTTCAGACCCGCACAGAGACGGAGGAGTTACAGGCCAGATGAGCCTCTGGGGCACAATTATGTCACAGCGTATGCAATGCTAGTCTGCTTTTCAGAGGTTTATTCAAATTAAATTCATTTAAAAGTATAATCTTAAAAGTTTAAATTAGATCTTTTAAAATTAAAAGACTGTCTAAATCAAATCTTAATCATATCTTCTATTTATCTTCTTAGAAGACTTCTGTATGATATAAATGATTTGCATAAAGCTATTATTTTTACTAAACATCGTTTGTTCAAAAAATCAAATAAAAATGTTATAAATCAAGAACTGTCCTTTGGCGTCTTAGATCTTATTTCAAATAGCATGCGACATGAAACATGTTGTCAAAGTTTGTCACAATGTTTTTGTTTTAAAAGAAATCCCAGGACTCTACATTGCTCTTATTTAGATTAAGTTGTATCATTTAGAAAATCACCACACATTTTCAGAGACGCTGCATAAGTAAAGTTTGTCTTGTATTTATTTAATTTAATATTTAATTTTACTCGTCTTAATTCAAAGCATGATCTTACTTTTTCTGCTGTAGCTATGACCTATTGTACGTATAAGATATATCATATTTACTTTTCTTGCATCTCTCAAACTATCCTTATTCATTGTGGAAGCACGCAGGGTGAAACCCTTCACTGAGAATATACTATCGGTTATCTACTCAAAATATATGTAGAATTTTCAAATGTTATCATTTGTCGATGCGACAGGCTGTCTGTTGGCCGCATGAACAGACTTTGGGGAGAGCTGATGAGACTATAGCAGAAAGCATGCCCCTTTGACCTCCTCGATTCAAACGAATAGTGCTCTCTAGCGCCACGCTTTTTCAAATGCGTGTTGCAACTACGGTAACCGTTATGTGCCAAGAGGCTACGACATGTCATCCAATAGCACTTCATCGAGTTTAACTATACACGTTCTACCGCTATGCTGCCTATTTAATGAATTACACAACCACGGAATGAAAAAGCTTGTAATTTAGACCGTAACATTGACTTACCTGTCGAGAAGAAAGCAGGCAACTTCTCCTTCATTAGCTCTATCCACCTGGGAAAAGCTATCCCGATATTTACCCTCGTTTTGAATTTGCCGGACACGTTTCACTTTAAATAAATTTTTTTTAAGCTTTATTATGGCTACGAGGATTGGATTATGAAGTGCCGTGCAGTCTTTCAAATTTGCCGGGGGAGTGACAAGCGCCTCTCACTGACCTCCTTGTGTCCGTTTCAGATGGTTTCAGTCAGCCGGCTCTGAACGAAAACGTGTTGTAGAAACGCGTTGAGGTAGCCTAGTGCTTTTTGTACCTCTCCGCTATTATAGTTTTTTCAAGATGGCGAAACGACATGGAGGCCACCATGGACTTACCCGTCAGAACTTTGGCAGAGCTAATTTTACACCAATGAGATCATATTTATTAATAAAGACATTGATTTTAGCTATTAAAATACTTTTTAAAAAACTACTGTACCTTTAATTTCAGATGTGTAAATTACAAAACTTTCAATTTTACAATTACATTTTTCAACCGAGTGAATCTACACATGGGAGATCTTCAGAAGTCATAACTTCAGGGGTTGATGGGGGTCCTGAGAATATTTAATTCCCCTTAAAACCAAAGATTAAGTTTAATGACACTAGTTTGCAACGGTCCCCCCAAAACCAAATAC